AGGGAGAAGGTCTGGGTCTGGGGACTGTGGAGTGAGGGGCGGTCTGACTTGTACTTTGCTTTGCAGAAGAATTCATCTGTGCCACTTCAGTCCCTCCCCAGCAATCCTGTGTCCCACTGACCAAGCTTCTCAAGTTCTGCTTTCACTTCCCCTCTGTGGCAGGAGCAGGCTGGGTGAGGGGGCCCTTGACTTGATCCCTTGGTAATCAGTTCTGGATCTGATGCTACAAAAACTGGCGAGGGCAGGGCACAGCTCTCTGTGCTTCTGCTTTTGCTTTCTGGACACTTGGAATCAAAGCTGATGCTTGCTTAACTACAATATTAACTTCAGGGCTTGTAAGACTGACATTTTATAAAATCTCATTGTTGAACACCTTTCTAAAAAGCCACATGTGACCCTCCCTCAGGGTCAACAATTGAGCAGGACCCTAGACCTCCTGAGCTATGAGGCTACTGGCACATCTGTTTGTTAGACATTGTTTTCTCTATTTTTTAACCACTATAAACCAAGGGCCCCACCCATCGCTGCTGAGGTGCCATTTGCAGTGTTTTGCTGTTGGAAAGCTATGGTCTCCTGAGTCTAGTGACCTAACGTCAGGAGACGTGGATTTGAGTCTAACCTTTTTCTTCTTAGTCCTTTGAGCCTGAGCGAATCAGCGAACTTCTTTGGGCCCTAGTTTCTTCATCCATTAATGTTCTATATTCCTCAGAGAGCTGTGGTGAGGTTTAAAGGAGAAAATGCTGATGGAATTGCTGCTTACAGTAGTGCTGCAGAATCCTACAGTGTTCTGCCCTCCTCTTCCTCCTCCTGCCCCCTCACTTCTTCCCTCCAAAACATGAAGGGTTCCTATGAAACATTCTGCCCAGCTACATGCATTCTTTCCACTCATATTTGAGAAATCACTGAAAAACCACATGACTCCAATATGTGGATCCCAATACCTCCACCCTTTGCCAGGTTCCCGGATGCTGGTGGCCCTGAGGGAGTGGCTGTCAGCACCAGCACATTGGATTCTGCCACCTCTGAGTTCGGATGTCCACAGGCTGAGCTGCAGGTGGCTGCGCCCCCTCTGACTTAAACCCCTGCCTGTATGCCAATGACCAGAAGACCTGTACTTGCAGCCTGTGCACCTCTTGGGGCCACAGACCAGCACTTCCAAATGCCTAGGGGACAGCTTCCCTAGGGATTCCCAGGAGTCCAGAAAATCCAATACCTGCAAAACCAAGCTCATCTTTTTTTTTTTTTTTTTTTTTTTTTTTTTTTTTTTTTTTTTTTTTTTTTTTACCAGGGATTGAACTCAGGCCCTTGTGCTTGCCAGGTAAGCTATTATTCTACTGAGCTATCTCCCGGGCCTCCACCAAGCTCATCTTGAGCAACCTCCTCTCCATTTTTTCAGGTTCCTCCCCAGATCTACCTTCACATCTGTCTCCTCCTCTTCCCTCTCCCTGGCATTGAGTTCAGGTCTTCTCATCTCTTGCCAGGACAATTGTAGGGGCTCCCTAATTGGTCTTCATATCTCTTCCTCTCTTCCTTCTAAGTCATGGTCCACAGTTGCTGCTTTAAAGACAAAGCTTTAATTTGCCCCTCTGACCAGTCAGCTCTTTCTTCCACTTAGAAATCTCGAGTGGCTTCCAGCACTCAGGCTGTCTGGGATGGAGCCCCTGATCAAATCTTGCTTTCAATGCCTTCACAGCCCACCCTTGCATGACACATCAGCGTTTCCAGCCAGGGCCAATGACTTGCAGTTCATGAAGTGACTTCCTCTTGTGCACATTTCTTTCTCCACTGTCCGGAAAGCCCTGCTTCCTGCTCCTCTGCTTGGACACCTTCTGCTTATTCTTCAGGGCTGATCTAAAACCTTGCCAACTCTTTGAAGCTTTCCTTGGCTCCCCTGGACAGAATCAGGTGGTTCCTGCAGCAATTTGTCTATTAAAAAAAACTGCATTATACAGTGATTATTTGTACATGTCTTTCTCTCACTGCGGTTGTCTCAGACAGTTGGGAATTCATTGTGTGAGGTTGGAGGAGGATGTCTGCTGAGCAAGTAAATGGATGAGTGATGTAACGATCACATGCATTCTTCGAGCAGCAGCACAACTGCAGCCTGCTCTGCAGGACAGGAGGAGGACGTCTGGAGCACGGTGCCTCACGCAGAAGCCGCTGCTGGAGCACGGTGCCTCACGTAGAAGCCGCTGCTGCTGCACTGGGCTGCTGAGCGCCTGGTCTAAACTGAGATGGGCTATGTCACACACACACACACACACACACACACACACACACACACACACGAGTTGAAGAACATACATTATCTTCCAATATATTTGCTATTGCTGATGCATTGAAAAGATATTCTCTTTTTTTTTGTGTACCAGGGATTGAACCAGGACCTTGTGCTTGCCAGGCAGGCGCTTATGTCACTGAACTACCTCCCCAACGAAAAGATGTTCTCCAGATATATTGCGCAAAATCAAGTGTCCATAAGTTAATTCCACCTGTTTTTACTTCTGAGTGTGTCTACTGGAAAATTTAAATATACATGTGGCTGACATTTATGGCTCACATTATATTTCTAGTGGACAATCACAATCTAAAGCGTTCAGTCACTGAACAAATACCTCTTGAGCATCATCACATGCTAAGTACTAATCTAGACGATGGGAATGGGACAGTGAACAAGACAGAGAAGTTCCTGACTCACGGGGCTAGTGCTATACTAGAGGAGAGACATGGGCCAGGGAACAAAGCACATGTGATCATTTGCATAGTAAAGGGACCATGAAAAGTACAGCAGGCTGTGGACTGCGGGTGCGGGAGGTGGGGGAAAGCAGAGGAGTGCAGTCTTTCAGGGCTGGTGGGTCTGAGGCAGGGAGCTGGGGCAGGAGACCAGGGCCCATCTAGTGAGAGGCTGCACTGGTGGAAACCCAGGCACTGTATATACAGAGAGAAGAAAACAGATTAGAAGAATAATTGGGAAGTAACTTTTGCTGAAGCATAATGACCAAAGGAATTCTGAAGATGTCAGAACAGACATGGACTCCCTGGGTTTCTGGCTCAGGTAAGTGGGTGATGGGATAAAGCAGGAGTGGGTCTCCAGGCAGACCGGGAACTGTTTTGAGGGTTTTGGGTACAAGGTGCCAGCAGGATGTCCATGCAGTGACATCAGCGTGAGGAATCAGAATTTAGGGTCCATCAGTGTAAAATAATCATTAAAACTGTGACAGTAGCTGCGGTGTCCACTTTAGCCTAAATGAAAAAAGAAAGGTGATAATAAATTTTATAGCATGTGTGGACAAAATCTGTCTTAGCATCAAGATTGCTATTTCAAATCTGATTGAGGGAAAGCCTAATTTCTCAAGATTATATTTTTCTTGGTTGTAAATGTTGTATGCTTGGAAAGTTTTGAAAAATAAAAAACCTAAAGGCAAGAACTTCTTCCGATGTTACCTAACTCAACTAATTACTACTAAAATGGATGCACTTCTGTGAGTTTGTAAAATTGTTAAAATTGAAATTTTTGCCTACTTATACAGTTTTGTAATTTTTCCCGGGCGCACTGAGATGGTGATTGAGACTGGACGTGGTGGTGCGCGCCTGTAATCCCAGGATTTGGAAAGTTGAAAACAGGAGGACCAATATGAGTCTGATCTATTTAGTGAGACTCTGTAGACCCTGTACTAAGTACATAAAAAAGAAGATCTTCCTTGGTCTTTAAATAATTTTAATGAATATAATGTTGAATGAAACAAGCATGGATGAGAAAAAATGGTAACTGAAGTGAAAACTCAGGTCTAGCAAGTACTTTGCTAAACTGGAAGTTACCTGAGCCTGTAGCTAGAGTGAAGGGAAGTTTCCAGGGCAGACAGAAGATTCAGGGTGCCAGACAGAGGCAAGATTGTGGCAGGGAAGTTTCCTGGTGATGGAGGGGTGGGTTCCTGGAGGGGCATGAGAGCAAGAGAAGCTCTTGGAAAAATTGGATGTGGTATGCGGTTCCAGCCAAGAGTTTGCCCTTATGTGCTCGGAGTTGGAGACATCTTCATAAAGAGCCAGGGTAGGGGATCAGGAGAGCTGGGATTTGAAAAAGCTGAGTGTCCCTGCTCAGTTCACACAGCCTCTTTATGGCTTGTTTTCCTTTTGTCTAGAAAGAGCCCCTTACGTTCTTCCTCGGACTCAGGACCCCTGAGACACGCCAGTGCATCCCTCTCTTGACTAGACTGTTCTGAGACTCGTTTCCATTCCACCAAGCAGGGCTCAGTCTCTGGGGACTTCCCGACCCCCTGCCCGGGGCCAGCCCAGGCACTGAAGGCTCCATCTAGACACTGCCTTTCGGAAGTCATGAAGCTGTCTGACCACCTTGTCTTCCGGCCTTGTCCCTGCAGGACCACTTCTTAGAATGGAAACGGATGCTTTTAAAGTCGGGGTGTTTCTCCGATGGTGAGTTTTAGCCCAAAAGGAGAGGACTGCAAGTGACTGCTGGACTGAGCAGCATAGGGTGAGCGCGTCGCATGCTTCTCAACTTGGGGGACCCCACAGTCCCACCTAGGAGCCAGTTATTCCCAGTGAACAGATAAAAGGGAAGAGACACTGAGAGGTTAATGCGACCCAGGCCCGCATCTGGTGAATGGGCAGCCGGGATTTCAGCAGGGATTCAGCCGAGTTCCAAGGTTCCGGGAGTGCTGGCCGCCTGGGTCCCAGGCAGCTCGCGGGCCCTCTCCGGCCCCCACCCTGGGCCAGGCTCCACTTTATGCCGCCCCAGTTTAGCTGGGCGCTGCGCAGCCCGAGCGCACCTTTCTGAGGCAGGGGCGTCTCCGCCCCAAATTCGAATGGGGCGCAAGGTGGAGCCGGGAACTTGAGGTGCATGGGCGGGGCGCAGGCCGGAGGGTGGC